ATTATTGAGACCGGTTTAGGTGTTTCGAGAACAGAGAATCTTGGATTTTGTATGGAGGAATTCAAGATTGAGTAAAAAGAAGAGTCTTCCAAGCTGTGTATGATTCTAGATTCGTCGGTTTTGTCGTTTATACGGCTAGAGAGACATCGGAGAAACTCGTCGTGGTTAGTGATCCGCTGAGCTGAAATCGAAGGAAAACGAGAAAGAGAAAGATTCAATAGAAGAAAATTTGTAAAGAGAGAAACCAAAAAGCTAAAAAACTCCATTTTTGATACAGAGACAGCGAGGATATTCGTATAAATATATTAAAGATGGATCTGAAATACTGTTTTTTTTTTTAGAAATCAAATAGATTAAAAAATTTTTATTTAATTAAAAATTATTAATGATGTTCAATTTGAATTTAAGTTCAATTTTTATTATATGAAATAATATATTTTATTCTTTTCCGTTTATTGACACTAATTTTATTTTCATTAATAACACTCACAATAATTTTATTTACAATTTAATTAACAAAAACAATTGAATTGGTTATTGAATCCAATTTTATATCGTAATAACCAAACAAGATTTTATCGTTTCTAAAAGTTTCTCCATTTCTATTGATGTTGGAGTGTCGACTTTGTCGTTAACACATTACACTAAATACTACTACTGTGTGTAAATTTCTTTTAAGCTAGAAAATTTGACAAAACAAAATACGACATATTGTGATCAATTTTGTTCAATATCCATTTAGTTAAATCCGTGGATATTGTAAAGATATTGATATTGATATTTTCTTATTTTCTTATAAATTTATACATAAAAGATGAAGTTTACTATAGAAATAGAAATGATCTAGACTAATAGCTTAAAGAGTACTTATTTATTAAATAAATATGTATAACTCATATTTATTTGAATTGTATCATAAGTATAAATTATGTTAAATTTAGCTTGTCCGAATATCTTAAGTAAAATTTAGAATACAAATAAATTATTTAATATTTTAAAACATTAAAATATATAAACATAAATTATATATATGAAACACGGATTAAAAATGTTTTTTGTTACTTTCAAATTAAAAATTTTTTTTGTTACTTTCAAATTGTCTTGTGTGAAAAAAAAAATCTAAAGGGTAATTATATTTGTTGTTATAATTTTGGGAAGTTTTTTTTCATAAAACATATCAAAATTTCTTGAGAAATTTCAAAAAATGTCACTTTTCAAAAATGCTATATTTTCAAAATCTTTGCAAAAATGCCACTGTTCAAAAAAAAAATTTCATTATTTCATTTATATTTGGGTTAACTATGTTCTATTAGGGTTTAGTTTTAAGAATTTTATGGGTTTTAGAGGTCAAAATTTTTTTTAGACTTTACAATTTTAAGATTTAGGGTTTAAAAATCTATAATTAGTGACATTTTTACAAATGAACACCTCTAAATGACATTCTTGCAAATATACACAGCAAAAGTGATATTTTTCAATTGCCGCAAATTTCTTGTTTTTGTTAGTCTTTATTATTAATTTCAAAAATAATATATATATTTTATTAAAAATATTCTAGAATTTTATTATTACAATAATCAATTTCTAACTATTTTT